AGGAAGTAGGAAGTAGAGGAAGGAGTGAAAAGGTAAAGGGTGTCTGGAGACTGAAGGAGTGAGGAGAATATATAAAGAAGAGAGGAGAATAAAGAAGAGACTTGAAGAGACGCCACCGGACTCTGTTTTGTATCTATCTTTTGCGTCTCTCGCCCCTTTTTCCCCCTTCCTCCGTCCCCACTCTCTCTCTTGCTAGACCCTGACCTGCCGACCGGAGCAGCAGAACCGGCCGGCCTTTACAAAGTAGCAGAACCCGACGGCCGTTACAAAAGAAACGGCAGTTACAAGTGTTCTGTTCAGAAAGTCTTCTCTGATGCCAATGAGTTCAAAGCTATTCTCCACTTACTTTTCTGTCTGGTTTAGTTTATCTGGCTTTATGTTGAGGTCTTTGATTCATTAGGACTTGAGTTTTGTGCAGGGTGATAGGTATGGATTTATTTGCATTCTTATACACGCGGACATCCTGTTTGATCAGCAACATTTGTTGAAGATACAGGATTTTTTTCTCCAGTGTGTATTTCTGGCTTCTTTAGCAAAATCAGGTGTCCATAGGTGTGTGGATTTGTGTCCAGGTCTTCAATTTGATTCCACTGATCAACGTGTCTGTTTTTATTATTGTATCTCTGAAGTACAACTTGAAATCAGAAATGGTGAGGTTTCTTTTATTGTCCTTTTACAGTTCTTTTGTTGTTCAGGATTGTTTTAACTATCCTGATTTTGTCTTTTTGTTGCTTGGTGTGTGGGTTTCCATCTAAAGCTGAGAATTGTCCTTTTAAGATCCGTGAAGAATTGAGTTGGGATTTTGATGGGGATTTCACTGAATCTGTAGATTGTTTTTGGTAGAATGGCCATTTTAGTGTTGAGCAGGGGAGATCTTTATATCTTCTGGTACCTTTTATTCTTTCTTTTTCATTTGGCTGTTTTTGTTTTGAGACAGGGTTTCTCTGAGTAGCCCCCGGTTGTCCTGAAACTCTCTGTGTAGATTAGACTGGCCTAGAACTCAGATCCTCCTGCCTCTACCTCCCAGCAGAGTTCTGGGATTAAAGGCATATGCCACCATACCTGGCCAATTTCTTTTTCCAAAGGCTTGAAGTTTTTTATCATAAAAGCTTTCATGGGCTTAGTTGGAGTTACTTACCCCCAAGATGCTTTATATTATTTGAGGCTATAGTGAAAGATGTTGTTTCCATGATTTCTTTCTTAGTCCATTTGTCATTTGTATATAGGAGGGCTACTGATTTTTCTAAGTTAAATTTGTATCCAGCTACTTTGCTATGTGTTTATCAGCTGTAGGAGTTTCCTGATGATATTTTTTAGGGTTACGATTTTTTTCTTTATAAAAGTTTAAAAATGTTCTCAGAATTCTTTTTTTTTTCTGTAGTGTATCATTTTAATAGTTGTTATGTCATCATCTCTTTCCAGATCTGCATAATAATTGTTTATTTCCACCAACAGATTTGCCCCTTGGAGGTATACTTTGCTTTCCTTTTTTTTTTTTAATATACAGGATTGTGTGTATTATTTTCTCTGAGTTCTATTCTAGCAGTAGTTTAATTATTAGACATCTTGATTCTAGGAGGACTTGGTCTCAGGCTTTTCAGGGTGGCTACAAGTTTTGAGGTACAATTTAGTTAGGTCACATGGTCTCTACTGTGGTCAGAGAAAACCCAGTGAGCTTACCACCTGTTGCCTGTGCCCTGGACAGCTCTCTACCCAACCCTACCTGCCCTTAGGGGTGGGAGCAAGTTGCCTCAGAGTCATTGACACAGAGTACAGGAGCAGGTAAGAAGGCTGCACTGCTGTAAGCTCTTTTAACATCCTCCGCCCGCGCCCCATTGGTCCCAAGAAAGCATCTCTTCTAAACAGCAGTTCCTGATTGGCTGGCATTGTCTGCATCAGTGATCCTTGGTCTCTCAGGCAGTCCTCAATTAGGTCCTCCTTTCTGGCCCCCAGCGTTTACATAGAGGTGGCCCCACCTGTTCCTTCCGCAACCACCTTTCTCAAGTAGATGCACTTTCCCCGGGAATGAGGCAGTAGCTAAGTATTTATCCAGCTCTTTTTGACTTTCAGCTATTTTTCTCCAGAAAACTTCCTTTGTAACATGGAAAGGGTACAGGTTTGTGGGCGTGCCTCTGTGACATTTGCTTTCACTACTTTGGCTTGTCAGTTTCCTATTTGTCTTCTGAGTGCCTAGCTCATTCACCCCACACAAGTGTCGCTTTCTGGCCAAGCATTGTCAAATATTCCAAACAAACGGGGAGAGTCTTCTGAGGAGAGCTAAAGTCCGATCTCACCTCAGTGACCTCCCCATAGATATGGTATGATTCTCCGCGTTCAGCCTGCTTACGTTAGGGTCCTGTGTCTTCTCGAATCTTGTTTCATCTTTTGTCTACAGCTTTAATTGTTGGCAGCAAGAAAATTAGTTCAAAAGAAACAACTTCACTTATTAGTGCCACTGGATCTAAATTTTGATACAGCACCAGGTTCAATACTTCTTAGAATAAGTACATTTTAACAACAGACAAGCAAAAGCAAATGAATCTTGGTGGGGCGGGGGTGGATCGTTCTGATATTAACATGCAGTTGTGACAGTGCCTGCTTAGTACTGGCCTCAGCATACGCTCCATCTGTGGTCTATAAAAGGACTACCTTTGTCTGTCATTCATTGAACTTTAATCTTTCTTTGCTAGCACTAAAAACTGGGCAAGACACGGGAAGGCTTTGCTCTCTCCATCAGAGTCCCTTTATGGTATAGGCATTACCGTTCTGGCCGTTAAAGCTAGGCTGTTTGCCTGTATTACTTTCATTTCTCAGACCTCCCTGGCCCCGTCAGGTAACTGAGTGTCTAGCTCATGTTTTCCCCTTGTCTTATAATCTCAGGTCAACTGTGATGACGTCATTAGTCACGTGGTACACGACAGGTGAGTAACACTGCGTGCCTCCTCCCTGTCCCGATTTTCTGTTTCTTTTTCTTTTCTTTTCTTTTCTTTTTTTTTCGTTTACTAATGAACAACAGGAACTTTAGCACAACTCTGATCTGTTGGTTGCTGGGATCTCTAATTCACTATTTCTATTTACTACGTCTTTCTTGTTTCCTCTGCCTTTAGTCCCCCTTGATACTGAATACCGTTTGCCCTCCGCACTTCGTGAGATCATTCTACCCTGTATGCGTGTTGATTTTATGTCTTTGATGTCCTTTACTTTAATTCTGCCACTTCGTGGACTTCTAGACTGAAGTCAAACCTGCTCACACAAAATGGGGGAGAAAAACAAGAAAGCAGGGGACTTCTTTTATTCTTTCTTTGTCTTGTATTTTAGTTTTCTGAGACAGATTCTTGCTGTATGGTCCGTCTGGCCTCAATTCTCTATCCTCCTGCCACCGTCTCTTGGATGTTGGGATTCAAGCATGCATCAAACATTACAAGTGGCTCTCTCTTGCTAATGAGTGGTGGAAGAGTTAAGCATTCTCCAGCATCCTTCAATGCCTGCTTAAATAGCAGAGGGAATGGATAGCTGATAACATAACTCGGCATTCATGCAGCTCTGTTACCCTCCAGCACAGAGCCTTGAATTCCACCCTATTCTCTGTCATTCTGTCTGTAAAACAAGAAAAATCATCAAGAACTTGAACCCCTTACTTACAATCCCATCTCTGTATTTCACCAGCCCTGTTTGAAGCTGTGGAGAAGAGCTGGAGAGATGGCTCAGCAGTTAAGAACACTGGCTGTTCTTCCAGAGATCCAGAGTTCAATTCCCAGCAACCACATGCTGGCTCACGAACAACTGAAGCTATGGAGAAGCAAAGTCCTGGCTATTGGGTATAGCGACAGCACAGGCAGGAGTCAGCTCCTCTCTGAGACCTGAGCTGCAGAGGCTCCCAAGATCCCAGCTTATAATACTCAGCCTAAGTGGCTCTGGGCAGACGTGCAAAGCTACAGAAATTCCAGAGAGGCATTTGGGGCACAGAGAATCCCTGGCTGCTTTTTCCTACTCTGCTCAATCTCTGACTCTGGCTTCATGTCCTTTCTTCTTTTGTTTTTTTCTTCCAGGTCCCCACACTTCCCAGACAACGTGCCCCCCCAAACATGACAAAATCAATCTCAGTTGATCCTGGTTATAAAGCCAAGCCTTCATTTATTCAATAAACTTTTAAATTCTTAAATTTAGAAATGACATAATACTATTAAATAACAATTTTAAAAAGGAGGAAGTGACATTAGATGGTTTTTATTTCCATATTTTCTCTTCCATCTTCTCTCTGTGTCCTTGATGAAGAAGTGATTGAGAATACTTATTTAACCAGGACAGAACTTGCTAGTTGCTTCTAAACACCTTTTCATCCATGACTTCTTGTTTGAGATAGAATAAAACTATATGGTGTATATATTAAAATTATTTCAGAATAATGTCTCTTACCTTTTACTTAAAGCTTCATGGGAGTGGTAACCATTTCTATTCAATTATTTCCAGGGCAATAACTTAGCTGCTTTAGTGGCACTCAGATCTTACGAACAGTAAACTCAGGTGACCACTGTTACAGGTCAGTATCCAAGGCGCAAGGACAGCAACTGCGTTCTCAGGTCTCCTCTCATGGTGAGAAAAGACCTGTCCAAGCATTAGTGGTGGCATATGAGCCACAGTGAATTTAACCAGAGAAAGGACAAGCTATAAGGAACCCTGTAGTGGGGCCTCGTCTATAAAGCAGCTTGGTTGTCAGTTATAAACACGCGTCCTGCTCTGTGCAGATAAGCGGAGATGAGACATTGATGAAAGTAACACATTTGCTTCATACAGAGTTACACTGTCTAACTCAGACCCAACATTCAACTTCAATAAAACAAGCTTTTCTTGACTCCAATTTGATTTTGTCCTTACCTTCCTTGTCTTTCCATCCATTACCTTGAGCAATATATTTTATTATTTTTATATAACTGGAACCTTACACTGTTTTCTAACCCTTTCCCAAAACAAGTATTAAAAGTTGGTGATTTTTTTTTTTTTTTTGCGGGAGTGTGGGGAAGCATCAGCATCTATCTGATATGTAAATGTCCCGATGTTGAGGCTGATTTGATTTTGTTGGCATCTTATTTTGTGGATGTAAAGGCCATCATCATCATATCTAAGAAGGAACAAAAATACAAACAGTACTGCGTCTGTTTGTTCATAGAAATTTCATCTCATTCTCTTTCCTTGACACTCTCTTTTTCCTGTTTAAAGTACAGTGTGCTACAACCATAGCAAGGCAAAGGATTGCTATCAAACCTACTACTGTTAAAATTCCTTTCAGGATCAGATCATCTCTGCTCACTACAGGAGCAGAGTTTGGGGGAAGAGGCATTGATATCAGTGCAATGTTTGAAACAGCTGACCTGAGGGAGCTTCCGTCCATGGCTCTCAGGGCTATATACACTATGTTGGTTTCTTGTGTGTCTTCATCAGGTTCGTGACCAAGTTCATGGGTGACAAGCTTGGGTGAGAATGTAAATGTCTCCCTGGTGCCAGCATGCTGAGGGATTAGCTCTGACGAGTTCACCAGGAAGGCACTGTCAAAGTCTTCCCGAATACTCCGCAGGCTTTTGCTCATTCTTATTTCATAGCTTGTAGCTGAAATTAAAAATACACACAGAAAAATACGGTCACTTTGTGTAAGTTTTTCAGTTGGTTGAATAAATTAGTAATGAAAAGTAGCCACAAAAAGTCAAACTATCAAGAAATATACATGTGAAAAAGCACAGAATACCAAGTGCAATGTAAAGACTCGTGCTGAACCTGAGCCAGGAGGACTTAATATTTTTTGAAAGCAAGAATCAACATAATGAGGATGTCACCCTCGCTTCAAGCAGTTATATAAACTTCATGTTGTGTTATTTGAGCTGTCTCTAGCTATTGCTTTAACTAGTGAAGCTTTTTGGAAAGTTCATAAGGAAAACAATAAAAAACATGACTATGAGTGCGTGCGCGCGCGCGCACACACACACACACACACACACACACAAGAGAAATACTGCCTGTGGAAAGGTACTTAGGAAACAATATCAGCAAGGTTACTTTGCCCCTGGTCGAAGTCTTCCCCAGGTGCCGTCCAAGAGAGGAGCACATCGTCTTCCACTTTCACGGCTTCTAGGTCAGTAATCTTGCATGGTGGAAACACGTCAGGGTGGGGGCCATCTGGGATGCCCAGCACTGAGAAGGAGCCTCCAGAGCTCACTCGACTGAAGCCCCACCTCTCCTTCACAGGTCTTCGGCCTGATGTTTTGGGAGCGTTCATTTGAATAATATTATCTGGAGCACAAAGAAAAAGCCAAATAACAAATTAAAAATTTCCTGAACAGTTTTGACAGATTGTTGAGACACCATTAGAACGAATGAGTTCATTTAGTCAGTAATGCATTCATTCATCTGTTTATTCCCTCCATACATATTGGTTGGTTGGGGACATATCACTGTGCCATGAATCAGACCAAACATCCTCCCTCATGAGATTTATATTAGTCATGATATAAGTGGCAGTCCTATCAGTAAATAGGTATTTATAAAGTGTGGCTAATCTAGAATAATAAAAAGCAGGGCACTCTGCATGATCACACCATGTAGTAACCATGAGGCAGTAACATTTAAGTGTCTTTGGGCTGAGGTGGAGGTAAGACACGAAGGAAGAGATCCTGGTAAAAGAGAGCGGCTTGCACGAACATGTAGGCTCAGAATTGTTGCACGTTAGAGAGAGAGTGAGCTAAAAAGTGGGTGGCTGGAGTTACAGATCAGAAGACATGGTGCCCTGGGGTTTAATCTCCAGAACTACAAACAGAAAGCAGAAAACCTTGAGATGAGCCAGAAGAGCAGGTAATAACTGACCTCAGGGATCAGTGGAGATTTTAAACCCAGTGTGGTGAGGAGCAAGAAGTGACAAGATTCATCGTATTTGCTTTCTGACAGGTCCTTAGAAAATGGATCAAATGCCAGTAAGCAGGAAGTCATTTAAAAAGAGTCATCCAGTAGTCACCATGGGGGAAGATGGTGGCAGCCGTCAGTGGTGACTTCAGGGGGAGGTAAGAGAGGATAGTTCAATGAATAATAGCAGGATAATTTGATAATAGCAATATAATTTGATAATTTGATAATAAATAGCAAGAACAATTTGCAGACACAAATTGGCCATAGATTTGAATGTGAAATGGTGAGAGGAAGGCTGATTAAAGCAGCTGCTCCACCCGTGAGGTGGAAAGAGAACCAGTTCTGACAAGTTGCCCTCTGAGAGCCACACACTTGCCTCAGCATGTACACACACACACTGAAAAACAAATATTTTAATAGTGTAGTGCCGCAAATAGTTTCTACTGAGAGTTTGATAGAAGAAGACAACCAAAGAGTCGGACCAAAAATTAGGTTATGATTCCTCTAAAATACCATTAGTTGAGACGGATTTTAAGATTTAAAAGGTTTAAACTAGATTTATTAATTTAAAATTATGAATTTGGAGGTTATGGGTAGATAAATATTATAAAATGTAAATATGTGGATTAATGAAACTATCTAATGATGATTTTTTAACTATAGTAAGTGTTATTCACTGGCTGCCTACTATGGCCAGGTATTTTAAATATCTTGCTATATCAAGCATTCAATTCCCCTAGCAAGGCGATGCTAGGGTGCTTACGCTTTGCCGTACATTTACTGATGATGAAACAGAACGCAGAGCTAAGTGACTTGCTCCACGTTACACCGTTACATCGTAAATGGGGGAGCTGAATTTCAGGTCCAGGTTGGAGAGCTGGGAGTGGCTCATCCACGGAGCACAAGCCCAGAGGGGTGGGAGTGGCTCATCCAGGGAGCGCATGCCCAGTAGACACAAATCTTCGGGCGTCTTCCACACCAAACAAAAAACAAAAACAAACTAAAACAAATCAGAGCTATCAAAGGGGAAAGAGAGAAAGCTAGTCTCAAAGTTTTTCTATTTTTAGAAATAGAAATGATTACAAAGGATCGGAGAGATTATTTTTAGAGACAGCACCGTACCCGAGATTTCTGTTTTATTTTTAGCTATCGTTTCCTAACAGGAACTAAAGTTATGCTTTTCTATAAGGAGATGTAAGTCTCCTACTATTTGGCATTTTTATAGGAAAGGAAGCAGAGCTTCGGCTCAGTGTCTGTAACAGCCAAGTTCATGTTTAGTCGGGAACTCTTTCCTTTTCTGATCACTGGGGCTGTTTGCATCACGCCTTCCATTGTTTGCTGCTCCCTAAATCTCTATAAAGGAAGTATGGGACCAAATAAATTGTAAGGAATCTCTTCGTGTGTTAGTTATCACAAATAAATAACCACAAGTCAGGATTCGAAATAAATTATTAAAACAATGAGAGGAGCCGGGCGGTGGTGGCGCACGCCTTTAATCCCAGCACTTGGGAGGCAGAGGCAGGCGGATTTCTGAGTTCAAGGCCAGCCTGGTCTACAGAGTGAGTTCCAGGACAGCCAGGACTATACAGAGACACCGTGTCTCGAAAAACCAAAACCAAAACCAAACCAAACCAAACAAACAAACAAAAAAAAGTTAAAAAAAAAAAAAAAAACGAGAGGATCAAACCATAGGAAATACCTACTTTCTGTTTTTCTCTACCACAAACAGTTTAGAATTGAAGAAGCAGTCAATTAATAGTGGCTGGAGTATGATTATGTGTGTGTGGGTGTGTGTATGGGTGTGACTCGGGACAGAATCTCAGTTCATGCCAGGCAAGTGTACCACCACTGAGCAGTTTCCACAGACCTGAGTGTGTCTTGGAAATTCACGTCTCTCTCAGTCCTCTCTTCTCTCCACCTCCCTCAGTCCTGCCTCTGCCAGTTTGTCTCTCCTTCTCCTTTCTCTCTTCTCCCCATCCTTCTCCTCTTTCTCTCCTCTCCCCATCCATCTCTGTTTGCCCATTGCATACACACACACACATCACCAACACGTACATGAAACAGTATTATGCATGTTTGCAGTGCAAATGGTTCTTACCGTTCATTACGTAACCGGGCACATACATAGCATGGTTTCCCGGGACAGGGTGGGCTAGGGTGCTTATGCTGGGAGAGTGATGGACATGCACTGCCCAGCTATAGCTACCACTTACAGCAAAGGAAGAAAAGTACCTGGAGTAAATTCCATCATTTCTTATAACATCAGCACCTGTGTGTGTATAGACAAAAATTCAGCATTAATATGTCATCACAGTTGATTGCTACTATTTAATGAGTTATTAAAACATTTATTCCTCTTTTTTTATTTTATTGGATATTTTCTTTATTTACATTTCAATTGTTATCCCTTTTCCAGGTCTCCCCTTTGGAAACCCCCTATCCCATCCTCCCTCCTCCTGCCTCTATGAGGGTGCTCTGCCACCACACACCGACTCCCGCCTTCCTGCCCTGGCATTCCCCTACACTGTGGCATCAAACCAGTACCAAGAGCCACTCCTCCCACTGATGTCCAAAAAGGCCTTCCTCTGTCACATATGTGGCTGGGGAAGTGGATCCTTCCATGTGTACTCTTTGGTTGGTGGTCCAGTCCCTGGGAGCTCCAGGGGGTCTGGCCAGTTGCCACTGTCGCTCCCCCCATGGGGCTGCAAACCCCCTCAGCTCCTTCAGTCCCTTCTCCAATTCCTCCACTGAGACCAGAGCACACAGAGCTCTTTGCTCCCAGAGAAGCACAAAGGGAACTTGAGGTGTTAAGCACACACGGTGATCCTTCAAGGGAAGGAATGTAGACCTGTTATTCACTCTGATGTCTGGGAGCAGAAGTGCCCTGTACCCTGGTGACACTTGTGCTTTCTGAGTGGCCAGAGACCTCAGCAGATCCTCCCTCAAACCTTCACTATAAGTTTGTTTTTCTCAGTCAGTTTAGAGAATCTTTTATTATGGAAATACCCCATGTGCTTTACAAAGAGTTTCAATGTAGTCACTTTTGAGCTTTACTTTACCTCCAAGAGATTTATGGATGCTTGGCTGGGCCTGTGGGTTTGAGTTAATGATCACCAGACGTTTTTATCAAATTGCTCTGTGCTTAAATATACTTAAAATAAACAACCTGTGTTGGACTTTGAAATTTGAACCAAACAGCCTTCTTGTCTCCTGAAGATTGAGTCTCTGTGGGCCTGTGAAGGACATAGATACCACCACCCATGCAACATGATTTCCATATGGCGGATGTTATTGTAGCTACTTTTGATATCATTGCGAGGTTTAAAATATGACAGTATCATAATTTCTTCCTGGGACTGCTTACTTTCTGTAAGGTTGTCTTCCACAGCCAAACAACCTGTGACTCTATCGCTCTGAATACACACAGCCTCATCTGAAGGCGGACGGCCTCTGCCTACTTCAATGATAACACTTAAAAGTCACCTTGAAAGATTTCATTCTTAGGAGGCAATCTATTTTCTACTAAAAAGCTAATAATAGTTTCTTTAAAAACAAAGCACATTTTTATTACTCATCTTCTCATATTTACTCACACATTTGAAATAAAATATATATCTCCAAAATATGAATTCAAGTGTACATACATGCTTTGGTAGTTTGTAAAATAGTGTGTGTGTGGGGGGGTAGTTGGTTTCCTCACTGGAGGACACACTTGACTGCCAGTGAGAGAGGAAGGTGTTCCCTGAGCTTCACTTAGCAGACTGATTCCTGCCCACTGTCCCTTGCTCTAGGACACATTCTGAAGCCTGTTCAGTGTTGGCTTCCTTCCTTTCACCGAGACTTTCAGAGGGCAGCAAAATTCCAAGCCAAGTCTGTGGCTTAGAGCGGAAAGATCTAGACCCCAGAACAACGGTGCTTTTAAGGCAGTTTGTCACACTGGGCAAGCAGCCTGTCATATCCTCAAGATCATTCCAGTTCCCACATTACACCTCGAGCTCCAAATGATGACACTGTGTTATTATTAAAGTGCTCTGAAACCAGCTGTCCCTGCTATATGGAGAGGCTCTGCAGCATGAGAAAACTGGAGGTCTGTTTACATAAAATAAGTGGTTACCATGTTACCCATGAAGTAACCATATTACCCATGTTTACATAAGATAAGTAGCAACCATGTCACCCATGAAGACTTAGATTGTTATTGTTATTGTATTTTTTTTTTGTGGATGGCAAGAAAACCAAACCTTGGCATTTAGTGGCATTTAGACAGCCATCTTTACAGTGTCTGCAGTCACTTTTCTAATCACTGATGCAGAAAGAAATGGACAGAGCCCTGTCTAGGGAGTCAGGGAACTTGGATTTAAGTTATGGATCTTTACCAGGAGAGCTCTGAAGCTGGGTGCCTCTGAGCCTCGGTTTTATGTCTATGAAATGGGCAGATGTCCCTTTCCTCCCTTGTCACTTTATGTACATCCCTCCCAAAGACGCATGTTCAGAGGAAGCATTGTGCAAGTTCCCCACAGAGGAGGACCAGTCTTTGATCAAGCTTCATATGAGTAGCTGGGGTCTCCTTCCAATACTCGCTCAGGAATTTCATAAGATTGACAAGGAAAGCAGTTGGATTCAAGGAGTTTTCCCGGGACTATTAACACCTCTACAACCTCATCACAGTGCTACACCACGCTACTCCTCCTTACCTGCCCCTTCATCCAAAAGTTGCAGCACAACGGGATCTCCAGACTCCGGCTCAACTGTCGCTACCACGGTGGCGTTGAGAATGGGATACAGACCCTTCCTCACGCTCGCATAAATTATCACCGGCTGAGGGAAATAGGTGCTGTCTCTTTCCACAAAGGCTTCCACAGTGACTGGGGACACGGCCAGGCTGGAGGCACGGGAGGCCACTGTCACTTTCAGAGTTTGAGGAGAATGGTGGGTGTTGTTCAACATATAAGTCCAGTGCCCGTGCTGCAAAATAAGGCATTGTTTTTGTCAAGCGTGAAGAAGAAATAAAATCAACGTTTCATTGATGCTGCATTTTTTTTTTTTAATGCAAGAAAAGATGTTAGGAAAGGTACTCTTAGATAAGTGGCCTCTAGTCAACCACCTTTACTGTTAGGCAGATTTAGGGGTAAATACATCGGTTTATTTGGACCAGTGAGGATACATTTTGACTCCCAGGTTTAGAACATCATGGCAAATGTGCACAGAGTCAAAGGACTTTAACGATATGGACTCCTTTACCCAAAAGAAAATGAAATACTTTAATTCATTTTTAGAACGGAAGAAATTGTATAAATTAAGAATGCCATTGAGGAATCCATAGACATGCTGGGCTAATATAACAACATTCTTCCTTTGCTTCCTGCCTCTCTGGACCCCAAAATTTCAAAGAACAAAAAAATGCACGCAGGGCTAGAGTATATAACCTACCATTATAAACAGGTCAGTAAATAAACTGAACACTGTCTATGCCGAGTAATTTTTATAAATTCTGCTTTATGTCATCCTCTTGTTTATACAAGCTACCTGAATAAACCGCACAAATTAAAAAATTGGGGGAAAAAGACTAAGACTTGGAGTCTCATTTTAAGAACTTATCAGCTGTCCCTGTTTAATCCCTGGAAATAACAAAAAAGAATCAGCAGAAATGCAGCAGGTCACGGTGGGACTCCACCCTCTGTCCACTTCCTCCATGGAGCTGGTGTGCTTTGCCATCTCCCAGGGGGGCCTGAGCCTAGCACCAAGTCACTTCTCACTGTCTTGCTGTGAACTGATGGCTTCAGTAGCCATGACAGGAACCTCCAGATCAAAATCGTTCTCTTTGGTGTTTCTAATCCAGATGAAGGAGTCAGACAAGAGAACAAAACAGAGGCAGCATCCCCAACCCTTACGTGAGAAGCGCACAATGAATTTGCAGAAAAGTTCAGTAGGAACAGAGAAGGAGGTACTTAGGGGAAAGGTATGAGGTGGGGCAGAAGCCAGACATAAACGGTCCAGTAGCGACCATAACTGTTGGCATTTCATCTTCAAAGTGCCACAGAATTCAGAGCAGGATGCAGACTTCAGAAGGGTTGGCTTGAGGGGCTGAGGGGTAGATTGGAGGTCGCCAGCTCAGAATCCAGTGAAGAGGCTACTGCCAATCTGGGCCAGGTAGCAGACCTGTGTGGTTCCAGCGCTTGGCAACTTGGGAAGATGAAGTGGGAGAATCGCTTGAGTCTGGAAGTTTGAGACCAACCTGGGCAACACGGGGAGGTCCTGACTTTAAAAATTATGGGAGTAGGCAGATAAGGGGAGCGCTTATAAGTCCGTCAGAGCTGAGGGATTCCCGTGTCGGCTCCCAGCCTCCAGGGCTCTCTTTACCCTCAGGGTCCGGTCCCTTACTCTCTGTGCTGCCTGGAACAGCCCTTGCAGCTTATCTACAGGGCCCTTCGGTCACCTCTCCTTCAGTCACTTGCTTATACCTTCCCTCAACACACGCTGTTCCAGTTCATCCATCTTATTACCAGCAGCCCTGCTTCATCTTTGAGCTTTCCGACGTTCTAGTTCATCTGTCCAGAATGCCATCCCCACCACCAGCCTTCACTGTCTCCTGTCTTTCCAGGATGATGCCCCTCATCCCTTAGAGAGCTTCTTCTTCCTGTCCTCACATATGTTCTAGTAGAACCTAGTGCTTATGCCTAACTAGGGTGTTTTCGTCTAAGTACAAGACCCAGAACACAGCAGATACCAAAACCTTACACTATTAGTCTTATTATAAAGTCTCCGTATAGCTGCTCCCAAACATCTAGGGAACTATATCTATATGGCTATCTCCTGTAAAGAAAGATAGATATAGGTTTCAAAAAACTACTAACGCTATAGGGAAACACTGTGAGTGTGACAAGGTTTTATCTAGAACTTAACCCTGCAGACACGGATATAGTTCAGTTGTTCTTCTTAACATTTTAACATCCGCAAAAATGGCTTTAGGAAGTTTTGAGGAGTCCTCACGCTTCCTTTGCATACCACATCTGAGCATGGGACACATCTGCTAGCTCTACTCTTGACTGAGGAGTTAGTTACAAATGGGTTGTCACACTGACCTCAGCAGTGCTTGGAATCTTCAGGCTGGCTGTCCGAAAGGCCAGATTGATGATAAAGTCACCAGTGCTGTATTTTCTTCCACTAGGATCCAGTAATACAATCTCAGGGGGACCACCCATCTGCCACATGACTAGGAAAAACGTGTCATTGCCCACAGCGCTATCCACAGTCACAGTATTCGTCAGTCGGTGCTGGGGTTGCACAGTTTCGCACATGCTTTCGAGCTGTTAAAGAGATGTATGTGAAAGTTTCTAGCAAATACATAACATTTCCTTCTTTTATAACAAAAAGATATGAATAGGCAAAAGTAAAAGGCTTTTTTTTTTCCCAGAGCTGAGGACCAAACCCAGGGCCTAGACTGAGCTAAATCCCCAATCCCAGTAAGAGGGTTTTTAATTCAGATTTGTATTGTATATATTTAAATCAAAGCAAAACAGTGCGCATTACGTAAGCAGTTAAAACCTATCTCCTTACAGCTAATGCAAGTGTAATGCATTATTAGTTTTGTTTGTGATAAGGTCTCAGGTAGCTCAGGCTAGCCTTCAATTCTTTATCCTCCTGTCTCCAAATACAGGAATTATATATAGCTGTGTGCCACCATGTCTGGCTTCACTATTCATCTGTTTGATTGTTTCCTGTGATGCTGGGGATTAAGCCAAGAGCTGGTGCACACTGGGCAAATACGATACCATTAGGCTACACTGCCGGCCCCCTCCATCACACCTCAAAATTAATTTAGCTGCTCTCACATTATCTATTATAAAAATGGGCTTCACGTGACCAATCACGATGAGAGTGAGCTCCTGGAAGACTTTGCTTGTTGGTATGTTTAAATGGTTTAAATTTGTATAACGATATCCAGAGGCTTCTACGAGTTTTAGTAAGAAATTTTAAAAAGGAATTTTAAAAAGAATATGGTGGTTGCATTTTTGTTTTGTGAGGGAGATTAGTGGTGTTCTCCTGAATGGCTGGACCCACACTCTCACCAACAGTGTGGAGACTCTCCAGCATTCCTTCTTCACCTTTTTATATCAGCCGTTCTTCTGGAAACAACGGGCTATCTCATTGTGGTTTTAATCTCCATCTCTCTAGTGATTAGCTCCTGGTGGCTATTTGTATGTCTACTTTTTAATCATGTCCACTCTTGGGTTTACTGTCCCGTTGTTTTTTGCTGTTGTTTGTTTTTCTTTTATTGAGACAGGGGTTCTCTGTGTAGCCCTGACTATCCTGGGATTTGCTCTGTAGACCAGGTTGGCCTTGAAATCACAGAAATCCTCCTGCCTCCGCCTCCCTGGTGCTAGGATTAAAAGAGGGCAACCGTACATCTAGCTTATTGTCCAGTGTTAGAAGCTGGGGTAGTTATTGGAGTTCCTGATTTACTTCGCATATCTGCAGCTTGTCAGAGCACAGCTTTAAAATGCTGCCCCCTTCCACGGGCTCTGTGTGTGCTGGCCTCATGCTTTGCTTTGCTAAGTAACATTCTAGCTTAAAGTAATCCAATTAGTCATTTTAGCCTTTATTTTCCATGCTTTGGGGATCTTATCCCCTGTCCATGTCCCCTGCAAAAACTCTTGTTCATCCTAAAGTGCTAAAAATATTTCCAACGGATTATCTAGTAGTTTCAATGTCAGGTTTAACCAGGACAATGTTAATCCCTGTGACTTGGGTTTTGACACTGGTGACTGATACTGGGATACTTTCATTCTTCTACCTGGGAATATTCAATCTTTCTAGAAACATTTATTGAAAAAATTATTCTCTCTTCAGTGCGTGTTCACATTTTTGTCAAGATTTAATTGGCTAGCTGAGCACAGCGGTCCATGTTTGTAATCCCAGCATCTGGGAGGTTAAAGCAGAAAGAGTCGCCTGGCCTAGTGGGCTACCCTCAGTTTTACTAAGCAGAATAATACTAATGGGCAGACTTTTTCTTTAGCACCTTGACTATCTCTCCAGGCCTATGTAGTTTCTGCCTAGATGCCTTCAGTCTGCCAAGTTGGGAACCCCTTATGTGATGTTTTATGAAGCTTTACTTTATCTCTGACCTTTGATCACTTGATGACAATATATCTTGGCTCATTGATTTGACTTCTAGCTAGGAGACTATTATCATCTTGACTGTGCATCTATATCTGCTCGTTACATATTTCCTGACAATAATTCATTGGGTTCAGTGTTTACACCGAGCATAACTTGGCTGGTTTACTCGCCATCTGTGAGGAAACTGCAGGTGAAATTCTGCTAGAAACATTATTCAATTATGTCCAGGTGGAATGAAAAAATGGCCCCTTTAAAGGTAGCTTGATAAGAGGAAGCTTTTGTACCCCAAATCAAATCAGTCATGCTAACTAAAGAGGCAATCTAAAACGGAGGCTGGTGGCTTATGCCTGCGATTCCTTTAGTTAGAAGATGGAACGGAGGACTAGGACTTCACCTAGGCCATGCACTCGCCCACAAACACCAAGAGGGAAGGCAGAGATCTGGATATTTCTAGAACTTCATGAAATAATTAATATTCTTTATCAAGATAGTGATGCAGCCAAAGTGAGACAGTGTGGTGGAGGAAAAGTTAACGGAACTGAAGAAATGAAAACATAGTGTCTTATTTTTGTTTTGGACCTTGTCCCCGCCCCACCCATCCCACCCTATCCTACCGACCTTACTCCACCCTATCCCACCCCCAGCTCCATTTTCTGTCACAAAGGAGTCTTTTCATGGACCTCGAAAGCTGAAGTCATTACAGAAAATAACTCCTGGAAATGAGCCATACAGACATGAGGTAAAATGACACTTGGTTCTGGGGATACCTAGACGCTCCTTAGAGCTTTCCACACAGAGAGAGTTCCATATTCAAAGAACAGTGATGATGCAGAGAGTCCAGTCCATCTGGTCCACACTCCGTCTATATACAGAAGACTGACATTCTGACCTGTAAGCTTTGCTGGAAAATGTCTCCTGTTCCAGAAGAAATTCTACTGAAGGCTTCAGTCATTCCGTTAGAAGTAAATTTATCTGGAATGAAGAACTTTAAACCTCCTGTAATACATAATTTGAGTGTCAAGTATTAAGATAGATACATAAAAATAAATGAGTAAATCTTTTCTGACCAACAGTGTTAGTGGGAGTTAGTGGGAGGTGTACTTGGCTCAGTTTGGATGACATCCGATGTAACTCTGAGGCATGTGGTCTTAAGGAGGTGATTTTGACTGTCAATTCATGGCTGTTTTCTCAGGCTCTAGTACTCTGCTCATTGAAGAAGAACTCAGTAAACCCTTACTGGGTAGTCTGAGATCCAAAAGAATTCTTAATAATGTAGATTAATTGCTAGTAGCTCCATGGCTATGTATTTGTGTTTATAATCTGAGAGCACTATTTTTTTTAAAAAAAATAGCCAAATAAATCTTAACTCTCAATGGTCAATCTGTTGCATTAGGTTTTATGGAAGACAAACTTATTCTTTGCCTCATCTAGAAGAAAGGCAAGCGTACATCTTACACTGCTGCTTGTGTGTCTACTCTAGAATGTGTCGCAGCTGGTCAATATGATTTCAGCCTCAAAATCGTGCATTCTCAGGTTGGTTTAGCAAATCATAAAAATAAAAGTTTTCATTGGGTGTACAAAACTTCAACACTAGAGAAAACATGCAAAATTTAGGGAAAAGTTTAGCTACGTTTAGCATTGATTTGTGTTTTTTAAAATGAAGTCTTTCCTATTTTTTCCTCCACCTATAACCTAGGTTTCATAGCTTAAGGATATGCTCTAAAACACGCTTGCTTAGGAGATTCTTACCTGTAAGATGTGATAATTCTCCCACTTTTCTGGCTGCAGAGGAAGAACCTAGGGCCATGGAATGAATGGTGGATCCACTGCTCACCGTGGTGAGCAGGCAGTTGGCAATGTGTTCATCTGCTCCACTGGTCACTAATATCATGACAGAGCCATCAGCTCTTCCGTTCTGCTTCTCAACCACCTAAACACAGAGACCCATCAGTTGCTTGGAAGGAAATGTAACTCAAACTGTGTGACTAAACAGAGGCGTTCCTTCTCATGTACAATTGGCTCCCAGTGTTGCCTATGACTCTCTAAGGTCCCCTGTGCTCTATGACCACCTCCAAGTCCCTCCTTACCTCACTCTGTTCATTGTGTTCATTATTATATGAGAGCCGTGTCTCTAAGATCTAGCCAGTGACCGGTAAGAGCAATGGTTCTCAACCTTAGTTACACCTCAGAATTAGATGGCAATATTTACAAATTTCATTGCCAGGCCATACCAGATCAGTGACACCAGAATCACAAGACATAAAACCCAGGCATCATGATTTTGGTTTTATTTTGTTGTTTGTTTGTTTATTGTTGGTAGTTTTCGTGCCTGAGATTGAACTTAAAAACTCAAGCTCACTAAGCATGCGCTCTCCCACTGAGCAATGTCACCGCCTCCTGTCTTTCAAGCAGTTGATGTCAGTGGGTAGCCTGGGTTGAGCAGCTGTTGTCTGTGGGTGGCAACAGTCCTAGCTGATGTCTTGTTGTCTACAGATGGTGGACATGGACACCTCACATGCTGGTTTAGATCAGCGTTGTCATTCCTGAGGCACACGTCTGGTCTTAATTATGTGTTTGCGTCCATGTGTGTGCACACGTCTGGTCTTAATTGTGTGTTTGCGTCCATGTGTGTGGGTCCACACATATGTGTGAGTGATTGACTTATTTATCTTCTCGGTTCTTATCTTTGCAATCTGGTTTATCTGTAGGCAGAGATCAAAAGTGATGATTTTGCCTTGAAACTACTGCCACAGCTGGGGCCACTTCAGAATAAATAGGGACAGTTTGGAAAGACTCTGGACATAATACTTAAGTCCCTTAGCCGTGGCCATTGTCCTTATTTATTTACTCATTCTGCCAATGAGCAGTTACTAATTAACTATGACGGGTTACTTTGTCAGGCCCAGGGAGTGCAACAGGAGGAAGAAACGAACCCTGATTTTCGGAATCACCCATCATTGCTCTCTCACAGCTGAGGCCGCTATGGCCGGGCTGTAAGGGCAAACTTCTTCTCATGAACAAACCAAACTAAAAAACCCACTCCTTCAGTCCCCCAAACCTGACACTCAGAATAAAAGAGAAGACAGTAAAGGCAACCGGAACTCAGGGCTCTCTACCTCAAAGCCTTTCTTAACCCCTGCACAGATGTTCGGTTCCGCTCCAGTGGACACAGCGGTCGGCAGGTACGAAACCAGCAGCTTCCGGTCATCGTCACTGTTAATTTGTTGCAGCGGGGCTCGGATTTCTCCTTCGCTATCAAAAGTGACAATGCCTACAAAAGTGTGAGCTTCGACAACCTGCATCAAGTACAGTTCGGCTGCTTGTTGTAATCGGAGGAGTCTGTCTCCCTAGGTCCCCAAAAGAAAAGGGGAAGAAGAAAAAGAGGAAATGACATTTGATTGGCAGGCCAATGCCAATGAAGTAACTCAATTTGCAAAAATATCTGTTAATGTTTTTATAGACACTGTACAGTTCTTAGAGTTTTTTCAATTAATTAGTTATATGCTCAGAAATGTGTGTTGGGGTGTACAGAAGAGTGCTGAGCAGCAAGCTATTTACAGTTAGGACGGCATGGCCTCACCCATCACTCCAGCTCAGAATTTAACAACCTATGATGTCAATTGACAATAGGTGCGTAACTGATTTTTTAAAGATTCAGTCCGAGTGAGAGGAGACATTACAGAGGGATCTGGTGATAGAGGTGTGGCGGTTGGCAGCACCTGTGTCCGTCCCCTGCCGTGGTGGCCATTTGAGGCTGGACACTTTGTGGATAATGCTTGATTAATCCAACTAATCCACTAGGTGCTTTTAGATGGCACTGAAGAGAGGGAAGGAAGCAGTATTTGGAGTCTCAGTGACCAGCTGTTTTTAGATGGCTGTGACCTCTGTCCCCATTGTTACCCCAATCCCCCCTCACGCTTCTGAGGACATGTCATCAATTTAATGTCTCATGGACACCTCAAACACCACAGTGTTTTAATTTATTGACTCTCTCCAAATATTTTTTATCTTACAAGCTGGGAAGAAAATTAGTAGAGTAGATGAAACCTAGACCTTGAATTCTCTCTTTGCCTTTTATAATTTTTCTATGGCTTAATTCTTTTATTGTAGTGATATCCAGTTGCATTTGTTTTCCTGGAAATGCCACACTTCTATTCGAGCGTGTGTGTGTGTGTGTGTGTGTGTGCGTGTGTGTGTTCCACATTCTCCTTCCCATTTCCCTGGAGTTGGATACCTAGCTGGTGTGGGCACAGAAAACATCACTTCTTTGTGGCTTTGATTCCCCTCCTCACAGAGTGCAGGGAGTAAGTAGGGACATAGTAGCTTTTGTCTCCATCATGGGGAAAGGGGAGAAAAGTTACAGTTTGCACCAACATGGGGATGCTAATGGGGTCTGGGATCATGTGTGGGTTTCATTCATCTCACCATCTCAATCTCCGGGCCTCCTGAGTTTGTCCTACCTATTTCTCAAGAAAATAAGATATCTTGGACTCTTTAAGACCCTTTGTGCTGCCACCCATCATACTCTGAAGATAAAAAGAATTAAAACTTGATGGGGGCGGGGTGGGGAAGAATGGTTTTCAATCATTTGGAATCAGTGTTTACCTCCGCCATCTTTCTGGACACATCAATGACTAAGCAGACCACTCGATCACCAGCCTGCAAGAGGGAGAAGGTGGGAGGGGCTGGAAGCTCAACACCAAGCACAGGGAGGCTGTGGCTCAGGTCGGAGGAGTCTGCAATCACATCCCAAGTGCTTCTGAGGCTGCACACTTGGTTCTGGAGGTTTGGGGCTTCTTGGTTGTGGGTACTTTCGTCACAGAATTCAACCACCTGGAGAGGAACAAGGCAGTCTTTGCAGACAAAATATACTTCTCATTTAAGTCAGGCAGCAGGTAAAAGAAGGCCAGTGCTCAAAGAAAGGTCACATGCTTCCTTTTCTCAAAAGTAACAGCAAGCTTGCAAATAACCCTGGGTACCTTTTGATTGAAATAGTAGCACCCTCTGGTCATGAAAGTCATCTCTCATAAAAGCGTGTTTATGCTAAGTAAACAGAACAGGCCGTGTACATAACTTTAGTCTCAAAGAGAGCAACTCCCCTGTCCCTTCCACGAAACTGTGCTAAAGAAACACCCTAAGAGATGTTATTCTGGACAGCCCATTCTTTGGAATCCCATTAAGTTAACACGGTGTCTTGTTTTACGAGTTAGTCAACACGTATTGATGGAGTTCAAATATTGATCTTCGTGAGGGTAGAATGAGGGCAAAACTACTTAAATCTACTTCCTGAAACAATTTTCCCATTTGGAGATCTAGCTATAATTCATTTAATGATAATCAGCCTGTGCCAGCAACACCCCTCCCCCCCAAGGTACAGCTTGCAATAGGCAATAGCTGTCTACTCTCACTGGATCTGGTCCTACAAAGAAGAGACAGTTCTACAAGTAGAGTTGCAGGAGACTTGAAAGACATTTACAGGTTCTCCAGTCCCATCACTGTTCATAGAGGAGGAAGCTGGGTACCACTCATTTGGCTTTTCAGTGAGGTGCAGTCAGGAGCAAACCTGTGCTGCTTTGTTTAGTGATTTTTTTTTTCTACATATCATGAGTGCAGCAAGGTGACTTTGAAACTTGTTGTGACGATATGTGTTTGAGTATGTTTTTCAAATGATTGAAAAAAATTGTATCTAATCACAAGCAACATGGGTCAAATACCTAGAACTAGATTAGAATCAGATACGGAAGTTATAAATTAAAAACAATGGATAAAGGCAAGGTAGATGAACAGTCCTGTTCACCTTGCAAACAATGATTACCATTGACTAAAACCAGACTGAGGAAACAAGTTAGCAAAATGTAGGAAGGGATAGAAGAAGGAAAGGAGAACATTCCAAAGCAAGCAGCAAAGGTTAGCCATGGACAAGGAGAAAATTCCATAAAGAAATGTGTCCACCACACTCCCGGCATAGCAGGGAGAAGATCCACAGTTACTGACTTTCAGGTCTTTGTGAAGTTCAGTAGCTAACTGAAGCCATGCAGGCTAGATCCGTTATATCTGTGACTAGTCAACTCCCTCCGTTCTGGTTCTATGCTCTCTCTTAGTTCAAGGTTCTGGTGCCAGCTTGGCTATAAGTGTGACATCTTTCTTAGAGAAAATAGACTGTCCAGAGAGAGAGAGATCCTCTAACTGAATACTCTTTTAAATATCAGTTTTTAAGTGGATGTCCAGACTCATCTTTTATGAATTAATGTGAAATATTTGTTGACAAGATTTAGATGCTAAGCTGGGATCAGTCCCCTCCCTGGGCTAGCTTGGCTGTCTTTCAAAGTTCGAGATTTCTCAAAACAAAGGAAAGAGAACCTCAGGTGAGAGGAGTGCAGTCATTCATCTTTCATTCTCGAAAACCTCATACCTCTTCCTAGGAGGTGACTGAGAGGGAAGGGCAACACATGGCAGCTCATTCTGTGACCTCAAAAGTCATCTTATTGAGCACTCGCCCTGGAAAGCAGACTTTTGCTTTTCAAAACAATCTGTACTTGTTATCATTTGGAGGAAACATTTTTTAAGTATATAAGATAAAGAACTAAATGAACAGTAGATCCTTAGGCTCCAATGACTCTTCATTGTCAGGAGCCATCTAGGAAAGGCTAAGGACAAAGCCGTAAGTTTTCTGAAGATGGCCCTCCACTTTGCTTGGCTGCAATCAGAAAGTTCTGAATTCCAGGACCTTCAGAGATTTCATCCCAGGATTGCTTCTTACTACTGACATGCCCTTCCTTTCACTATTACATGGTCTAATTTTTCCTAGGTATTGGCTCACCCCCTATCAGGCAGATTTCCTGAAGATCAACATAAAGATAAACTTTCATAAATTAATTTTCTTTAGATGGATTAATGATTTTATAGAACTCCTGATTTGATTCAAATAATTTTTAGGAAGGAAGTTTTAAGAAATGGTTTCAATGGTTTTGCCAGAAACAAATAGTAAGGCTATAAGGACAGGAATCATCAGTCTTTAGGCTTCGTCTGTAGATGCGTCTCACTTCAGCCCATTCCCCAGCTGGAGCAAGCTTCCAGCAATTAACAGTCCCATCTTCTACATACTTAGACATATCTGAGAAAGAAGTGGCAGCTCACAGGAGTTTGTCGTCCCAAGGATGTACTTACAGAAGGTAAACTTTGCATGAACATTATTGATCCAGTTGCATTCTGGGTGCTGTTGTAGAGGAATGTGCATCCTTCCCTAAAAAGCTTGCTGGTGATGCAGTCTTCATGGGGGCAAAGGCCCTTTTCACACACAAAAACGCCCGTGATATCAGATGAACACCTGAAAGTGGATGAGAAACTAAGAACTGAGTATCTTTAGAAATACGTGTTTTCTTCTTGATTATCTTTTCTAATGGTTCGTTTTGAGGACTATAGGTCAGTAGACATGCATAAATATTTTTAAATGGCCTCTTCAGGAAATACATTAATTTGGAAATATAGTCTCTCCATTTGGTTGTAAAACCTTGTGTTGCCAAATTTTTTAGCAAGCAGAGAGAGACAAGGCAGGAGGCAACTTAGAAAGATTCTGGGAGAGGAAGGACAAGGCTAGCAACATCCTGTGTCAGTGCTCCACTGGACATCAGAGAGAATGAATCCATAATGGTGATCTTCGGAAAGATTTTTGTCTTCATTAAAAATTTCAAACATTGCTATGTGAGTGAGAAACAGTGCCATATGAAAATGAAGCTGATGGCCTGTATCTACTAACTGCACACCCTGTGACGCCAAATCCTCTGAAGCTTTTTAATGTATGGATTTCTATGCATTGTAAGAGTAAAAATTAAAATAACTTGGCAAAGACCACAGGACGGCTTGCTGAGCTTGCTGAGAATAGCCATAATAAAAATATCAAGCCCCTCTAGGGACAAGGTGACCAAAAATGTAGAAACAACCAAAGACATATCTTGACCAGTCTAAACATGCCCAAGTGAGTAATGGGTCACCTGGTGTTTATCCTAGAAGGTCTGAGGCTTCATGGTCAAAAATAGTGGGCCATCCAGCCTGTCAAAATGATTGCTTACGCAAAGTGCTGATGTTTGAAATATCCAATTATATGTAACCACACCAGAATTTTCCACTTTTCCCTTCCCCTTTGTGCCTCCCCCTATAAAAGTTCTAAACTTCCTGGGGTCTTCATCGAAATTTTCTCCCCTGCGTGGGATGAGTTTCGATCCAAGGGCCCTTGTTAGTAAACTGTCTTTTGCTATTTTGCATCAAGTCAGTCTCTGGTGTCTCCTTGGGTGCGCGCTGATCGGGACTTGAGTTGGGGGTCCTCTTCGGGGGTCCTTACAGCATAACACACAAGGTGGCTATTAATCTCCATATCTTACAAGAGGGCACTGATTGGGTAAGTTATGTCATAACCACAAAATGAAACATTATGATATTATTTTTTAAAAGGACAAGAAAAATATATATTTGTGCTTATTTGAATTTTCTTGAAGAGACAAGGTAAATAGGAAATGAGTCGAGATGGTTATTCAAAGGTGGTAAGAGGAAGCAGAATGAAGAGAGTCGTAAGTAAGATGGCAAAGGATATTACGCTTTACTGTTCATATCTGAAGCAATAAACATTTGTCCATTTTAAAATTCAATTAAATTAAAGTTGACAATGAAAGAATTTACTCCTTGCTAATACATGCTTGTCATTATTAACTTATTTTTATGTCATACAATAATTAAATCAAGACAAAAATACCTACCTTCCCATTTATCATTTTATTCTTTACATTTTTTGAGACAAGGTCTCACTATGTAGCCCTGGCTGGCCTAGAACTCACAGTGTGGACAAAGCTGACCTTGAATTTGTGACAATCTTCCTGCTTCTGCCTCTCTAAAGCTCAGATTATAACTTTATAGCCATGTGTCACTATGTCCAACTACTTACTGTAAAAAACACCCAAATATTTTCTTCTAGTTTTTGAAATATTCAATATATCCAATCAGTTGTGATTTTATATAGGAGAGAAACCACTGACCTGGTGACTTGAATCTCATTCCGTCCATTCACGTAGAACGGCTTGTCATTGTTATATTCATCAAACACACCCCAGCGGAGATGGGCCCACTCATGGACAAACACTCTGCCTGGAGAAGAGAGGGTTTCAGCTTTTTGAGCTCCTGAAATCTCAGCAACGGGCCTTGCTGATCAGTGAAGACCCAGTATCACTCCACCACACTCTACTTCCAAAGAGTCTAAGTTTGGGTCACTTCCCTCCTCATTCCCTCCTACCTCATCCCTACCATCAGAGAATGAGAGCATGAAAATTCCCAAGCCAGCTAGACCTCATTCACTTGACAGAAGTGGCAGGGAGTACCACGTTCTCTCCCTCCCTGAAGCCATCTAACAAGCTCTTACTTAGCTTCATGCACGCAGCTCAGCAGGTTCAGGACTTAGTGTAGACGGAAGAAATATATTCTTGCAATCAACTAAGCTTTCCTAAGTTTAGCCTGTGCCCAAGCTTGCTGGCTCTCTTGCAGGCCATTTCCCAGTCTACAGAAATGACTGAAACCTAGGAACCAGGGAAGGAGGAAGGATCAGAGATCACGGGATCCCACTCCAGCTTCGATATCCCTTCTCTTTTATCCCATTTTCTAACCCTTCTTCTTTTTGGAAACTTTCATTCTTACCATCAAATCCTTCACAGGCCTATCTCATCCTCTCTAAGCTTACACTTCCTTCCAAGTTCATCTCAGAAGTTAAGTACTCTCCATGGAAGGTTTCCAGGTCAACACCCTTCCCAAAACAAGGCACATTCTCCTTTTTTCTGAAGTAGTTTAGATTCTGTCACTCAGGGACTGCTGGCTGGACTGACTGGTGCTGTGGGACGTTGTGCAATGTTTGCATTTTGGGAGGAGACAGCCACAGCTGAAAATATTAAGAGAAAGTATGTGCCGACTGACTCATGACTCTAGAGGCACTGATGAAATCATAGGCAGATTCAGAGAACATCACACCTCCTAGTTACCACCCAGAAGGGAGGAGATCCAATTTTTAAAAGTTTTATAAAATATCCTATTGCCAAGGACCAGCCTTGGCTTTGGAAAAGGGTCCGGAGAGAAGGGATGTCTGGGAGTGGAGAAAACCAAAGACTGGAAATCAAATCGTGGGCCCAAGCTGGTGGCCTGTGTTCTGCTCAAGACGTGTCTGCAGCTTCGAAGACTGCTTTCTCTCTGCTCTGCTTTCTCTGGAGATCTCCAGACAGCTCTCTTTTGTTCTATCCTCTAGAGATCTCTGGACAGCTCTCTCTTGTTCTATCCTCTAGAGATCTCTGGACAGCTCTCTCTTGTTCTATCCTCTAGAGATCTCTGGACAGCTCTCTCTTGTTATATTTTCTGCTCCAAACAGTTCTCCCAACAGTTCTAGCTATTCTAAAAAAAAAAAAAAAAAAAAAAAAAAATTTCCCTGGACAGCTTATCTCCTGCAGATCATAAGCACCATATCAATCCAGTCATTTACTCCAGGTTTCCCTTTGATTACCCTGTGAATCAGCATTCCATTATCCCAGTCCCTCAATTCTTAGGAGACAGCAAGCACACATATTCCTTTAACATTGCAAAAGAATTCAGAGATCTGCCTGCCTCCCTTAAGCACAGATGATAAAATGGCTGGGTGGGACTCCACTTTGAAGTCACCATTTCTATCACACCTGGGCCTAACCTGGCTCTGTCTCAGGCTGACCCTGAACTCCGGAATCTGTCTTCCTTTGTAAGCATAAGCAAAAACACTTAGCTGGGTGGGATCTCCTGAGACCACCAGTCTCTAAATCTCTTCATTGCCCCCCTTAGTATCTTCCTGACGAGTTGGCACACGGTGCAGCTGCTCTCGCCCTTAAGATTCATGAAGCCGCTCGTATAATTCATCTTTATTTTTTGAGAAGTTATATATTTTTGAACCCATATTTTTAGAGTTCTTTCCCACAGCCTTAAGGGCTGTCCTGAAGGTCTCAGTATTTGACATTTTGCTGAGACATTAACCACACCCTCGACTCTTGGACTCAGGCTGTCTCTGATTATCATGGAGTCAGTAACATTAACAGTGAGGACACTGAAGGGGGAACATAAACTATGTACACTGTTATACAAACAAGCCTTATGCCCGCAGCAGCTATCAACACTTATGCTGGCCCTGTCCCAGGGGCAGTAACCATGTCATTTCTGTCCCTACCAAGGCCATGCCGGACCCAGGATCCTATGATTGCTTTTACTCCTGCTTGCTAAGCAGGGATAACAAAACCTACCTAGTTTTAAATTTCACAAAAAATAAAAATATTTGAAAGGTTCTATTTAAAACTGAACCAAAAATAAAATTGCAGATTGGAGCTAGCCCTGGGCTGGCTGACCCATCTTCACTAATGTGTCCTCAGATCTCACACATGGTGCACCGGTCTTCAGGCTGGCGATCATAACCTATCTCCTGAGTTCCAGACGCCCATATCTGACCACAGCCAGACCCTCTGCATTCAGTCCGCTGCTCCGTGCCATCTTGCCTAATCCATCCCGTGGCTTCCCTTTTCCACAGTCCACCCTATTTCCCAATGCCTTTCTTGTTCTTAATGCCATCTGCACACACCTCTTGCCTTTTAATCTGCAGCCAGCCACTCGGAATTCCTGCACTCTGGAACGCTCACCACTTAGGGCCACTAGGATCTCATAAGGAAATATTTTCAGTGAGATCGGCAGCACATCTGGGCATGGGCCGTCTGTGTTCTTGTATTCCACCTCTGGTCCTTCTCCCTTTATCTCCTCCATTCAAGCCTTCTGAGCACATCCGTGTACTGTTCCCATGTATCTCCCCGCATCCAGAATTCCCTCACAGATACATCTCCTGAAAGCTATATGGTGCTGTTGTTCCCACGTGCGTGAGCCTTCAGTGGGGACTTCATAGTGTGAATATCCCAGGCTGTTCTCACTGCCTGCTTGCTGGGTGCGCATGCGTACCACCTGCCTGCTGGGTGCGTGCTGGCTTTTCCCTCCGGACCCAAGCTCTGCCCTGACAGTGGGTCAAAGGCTTCCCTCAAAGCCGTGGGTTCCTCAGCAGCCTCAGTATTTTGCACATGCTCCCTGCCCTCTCTTCCTTCCATTAATGAAAACGATGTTAACCCTCTCCTTTGTGAGACATGTGCTGACAACCCTTGGCTTGGTTGTCTTCACTGAATTTTCAGAGTACTACTCTATGCGTAATCTGGTCTGTGGTCTTCCTGTTTCATCCTGTCCCACCCCTTCTATGGTCACCTGACCTCCTCTCCTTAAAAGTGAAAGTCCTCGACAGGTTGCAGGTTTTAGAAGTATCTTCTGCACAAAGCAAAAAATATTATACCATGGAGGGGATGTTCTTATGAGCTGAACTTACCTCGTGACCCATATCCTGCGGCTAACTCATCGTTGAGTAGGAAGTTGGGGGTGAAATGGATGTATTTCCCCTCTTTTCCACACCCTCCGTGTTGTAGGGTATATGGGTCATCCCCGGACACCCCATTCTGCTCAGTCACTATGACATTTGCCTAAATTAAAACAGATCCATTTTAAGGAAATTTAAGCTGTAATTTTACTGTAGGCAAGCATGTATGATTTAAAAGCAGATTAAATATTAAAGGAATGCCTTGTAGTTAGAGTTTGGATATTCTGATAGCTAAATACTTAAGCTAAATTCTTTGGCACTCTCAGAAGATTTCTTTTAAAAGTTTATCCAGACTGCATGGAACTTCTTCCCTGCCTTTATTCCCTTCCCATATTCTCAGATATCAATACTGTAAAGTTACGATATCATAACATTGTAAAGAGCTGTGAAATCAAGAAGATTTAATAGTATTTACACACCATCCAGGACTGCCCAGTAAGGACCTAGAGCCATCCTCAGTCTGCTCGTTACTCTGTCAGTGCAAGCGAAAGGACAATGTTTCCCTTTAGCCCCGTCTTTCATTTCCATAACTAGTCAGATCACGGTATCATTCTGAGTGAGTTATGTTTTGCTTCGTCTCTGACCATTTCAGTGACTACTGTTAAAACACAGCATCTTAAATTCAAATCTCGCGTTAGGTATTGTTCATCTAGACATCAAGACTGCAAAACTTTGCAGACAGCATTGTTCCTCTTGCTTTAGAAAGAGTGACAGCTGTCACAAACCAGGCCTCAGAAAGTAAGGATGATGCTCAGTTAAGAAAGGGAGAGGGAGCCAGGTGTAATGGCACACTTTTGCAATCTTAGTACTTAAGAAGCTGAAACAGGAGGATAGAGACTTTGAGACCGGCCTGGCCTAAATAGAAAGTTCCAGAACTTTAGCTACATAGCAAAATCCTGTCCTAAACACTAGAGATAGATAAATAAGAAGAGTAGGTAAACTTGGCATAATGATATAGATTACAAGTACTGTATGTCTTGTGTGCCACTGGGGGAAGATATTTTCATTTCTATTTATTTGAGGATTCCTTTCTAATGAGCATAAGTTGCTTTTATAATAATTACCATTTATTTGTTGGAAGGTAGGAACATTGAAAGGTGGAATATACAAAAGGCCTTGCATGGCCCCTCCTCTGCCCTAACCAGCAATGTCTCTGTATAGAGGCTCATTCAGCTAGGGTTTACGTAATTGACATTATGAGGTTAATGGAAATGGTATGAAAACATCTGATCATATCGCACATGTTGTACTTTTCCTCTTGTAAGATCAGGTACTGCCATTGACAACGTGGTTCTCTTGTGCTGTCTCCAAGACTTCTCAGAGTACTGAAGGACAAGGTCATTAATATAATCTTTATAGAGACTATACAGTTTGGTGCTAACAGTATGGATTTTGACATTAGATAGACATTCAAATTGATAACTATTACTTATTTACAGGGAACAAAGCCCTTACCTTCTGTGAGGTGCTCACATAAGTGAATTCTTGATTCATGACAACAACAACTACCGTGAGGTTGTGTAGGAATTGATAACAGATGTATACATGCATCAGTGGGTGGTTCTTAGCAGGAGCTTAGCGAGCACTCGAGTTGCCTCAGTTTGTTCCCATCCCCCTACTTATCTCCTTGCCAAGCTCCGTCAAATGCTCCTGTCTGGTGGAACAACCAAACTCTTGTGTAAGCCTCTCAACATCTTCTGCATTTGGCCTACATTCTACATTGCTAGGCCATTCAATTTCTGAGAGAATCTTCCAGGGAAAGGTAAGAATTAAGACAATCTGAGGAAGTTGTATGCCAAGCGACAGATAAAGAAAAAGGCACGTGTTAGGTGTCCTAGCCATCCTGATGGGACTGTAGTCGCAGACACCAAACCCACTTCATTGCTGAAGCTCTTCTCTATGCTGTTCCTAGCTCTTCTCATGTATACAGTGGACTCTAATTCACAGTAATTTTTAAAGTGTGTTAGCATTTATTCCTAGGCGCATACCAATGCACAATCACAGATCATCTGTAATTCATTAGTGTTCTTTAAGGTTATTTTGTGGTAGAAAAGAAATTGGAGCCACCTTCCCCACACTCACAATCTTTTTATTTTCTCCCTTCTTTCCTTTCTCCTTTGAATCATCTTAGTTAAGGGCAAAATCTGCTGATTCATCCCATGGCGTGAGAAACAGTTGCATTTTTACACGCACGGGTGGATGTCTGAGCACAAATACATCTGTTCACCGCACAGTGAAAATGAACATCGCCAGAGTTGGATTGTTCAGGTCCCTGTTCACTCTCACCAGGATAAAATGGATTCTTGTTCTTCCAGTAAAAACTGAGCCAGGATCGTGTACACCACAGAATAGAGACCCCCCCCAGAGTGTGCATCACAGAATAGAGACCCCCAGAGAAGCAGAATCAGCAATGGCATCCGACTTAATGTGTGATTGAATGAGTCACACCTATTTATTATGCTTCTGTTGTTCTGTCTTGCCTTTCTCCTGGCACATGATCATGTATGAAGGTCTGTGGGATAACATCTATGTGCTTTGTCAGTAATACTCCTTACAGTAGATCATGTCACTGTGCCAGTATCAAGGACAGAGCACAGTTTGAACGTTTCTCACCCTCAAGTTGAATTAAACTCTTTTAATACAATCCTCAGTCCTTACCTTGTCATAGGATTCTTGTTTCACTCTGTTGTAATTATGAGCTGTCCAAGTAGCAGGTATTAATATCTGTACACTTCTGAAAAACACCCTTCTCTTGGTTGCATTGAACAGGTAAAAGGAAGCTTCAGTTATCATTTCCTATAACCAAACAGAAGGGAAGCCATCAGATGTAAACATGTAATCAGTGGGGAAGCCATCAGACAGGAAGGAAATCCTTGTTTTTCTGATGCCACGCAAGCAACAACGAAAAACAGGTAAACAGACTTCAAATGAACCTAAAAACACAGGGACAAACGTTTTAGGAAAAGACATTGAATTGTTACCTGAAAGAGATTTGGGCACACCAATTACATGCTAGGGCTTGTTCTCATGATTTCCCCAAGTTTCAGAACACCGCTTTAAGTCACACCTCCGAGCACGTTCAGGCCTGTGCCTTTTGAAAACACTTTAGGCAATACCACAGACTAGGCACTCAGGTGATGATCCTCCCTTGCCATGTTACAGTGGAAAACATCAGTTATTTTACAGAACACGAGCGAGCAGAGAGAATTTCTCTCCGTGGCAGCCTGCATAGATGTTCTCTCTTGAGAATTCTCAGCTTTGAAATGGGATGTCACCGGATGATTTTAAGATGCTCCCCCCTGTCATTCAAACATCCGACTTTCTTTTGCTACAATCCACTTTCACTTCTCTAAGCTGTTCTCCAGAGAACAGTTCCATGGGAAAACTACAGCTTAGCCCCAAAGCCGACGGATGGTAACTAATAAAAAGAAGGATGAAGGCTCTGAGAGTGGAGGCTACATATATCGACATGATGCTGTGATGTAGCTGGCATGCCCACAAACGTGCTGTCAGCACTGTCCTTAAGAAATGCTGCTCTCTGTAGTGCTCCAGTTCAAACCTGGTGGGGTTAGCTTCCTAAAGGTGGCAACAGGTCTGAATTAGTAGGCTATTGACTGCATAATTGCCACTCACCTTAATGTTTGTAATCAGCTTCAGATCCTCGGATACCCGAGGATTGATCGCAACAAGTAATCCATCATAACCATTCTCCTTCAGATTCAATCCAGCGCCCAGGAACAGAAGTTCTGGACTTAGGGCAAAGAGAAGAGTCACAAGTGTCAGCCCGCTGGTAGGTCCTGTGTTACCCCCGTGGGTCATCTTGTAGTGAAGCCTCTGGTTTACTCACGGGGAGCCTGCTGGGTACCTTGAGTCAGCTGATCAATGTGGAAGCAGATGACTTATTTCTGAACTTGGAAGGTCTTACAATACATGATGAAGGAGTTACCTTCTTTGAAAAGTCTGGGGTGGATCTATCTGGGACCTGTCTCTACAAGTCCTTCTCCATGGCAATAGTACTCACCTGGTTTGTGGCTAAGCTTCCTCCTGAATCATAGCTGGACAAGAAGCCATCCACCCTTTACTGGCTTCATATCTTCTCAAGGGAAAAGGGAAATGAAGCAAGAAGGAGCTTAAGAGATATAGGCCTGGCTGCAAGGCCATCAGAACAATGAAATCAGTCCGCTACAGGACACACAGGACTGGCAGTGATTTTCCTTCCTGGATCTTGTGCAACCTCGTTCACCAGCACTGCTTCCCTTGCTTACTCAGGAAACTGTGCTGATTGTGAGATTCCCTTGCTTATTTGGAAGATTTGGAAATTATGCTGTATGCCTTTCCCTAGAGCCCTGGGTCAGGCAGTCTGGGTGAGCTCCAAGCTGATGGCTGGGTTTAGGAGATCAGATATCTCCCAAGGGAGGGCCAAGTGCCAGGAACTTGGATGCTGTGCCGGCCATGAGCCCTTTCCTGGCCTCCTTGTCTAGTCTCCTGATGCCAGGGAGAAAAATGAACTTCTTTCTATGTAGGGATCCCCTGAGGATAAGGCCTTGATTCAGTCAATCTGTATCTCCTGCACCACGGCAAGTTGAAGCAGCAGGCTTCACGAATATTTTACAACATCGGATGTGGTAAAATGTCACTGATGTATTTTTATTTCTGCTTTACAATTCTGATAATGCCAGTGGAAGAAGGAGTGAGTACTTCTATTGACTGGTGGGTTGTGTTGTCCCTAGTTTATTAATGACTGTGGTGGATGAATAAGACATGCCCCTTATAGTCTTAGGTATCAAAATACTTGGTCTGAAATGGTGGCACTGTTTAGGGAAGCAAGGAGGTACAGCCTTGCTAGACAACATTCTTTTACTTGGAGGTAGGCTTTGAGAGTTTAAAGCTTTGTGCCATTTTCAGTTCACTCTGTCTACCTCATGGTTATGGTTTAGGAATGGCTTCCTGTTCTAGACATGCTGGCTGCGTGCTGCCATGCCTTCGAATTATAATGGATTTTTGCACCTCTGGGACCATAAGCCAAATGAACCCTTTCTTTCTTAAGTTGCCTTACTCATAGTGTTTTATAATGAAAAGAGAAAAGTGACTGATACAGTGTCAAAGCTATGGCTCAGGACAGCTAAAAAAAAAAAAAACCTTTTAAAGTTAGTAGTGGTAGCACAGTGCTAAAAAGAGCAATGGGCTTCAACTCCCACTGTTTACCACTGGATCGTGATTTCTCTTAGCTATCAAGTTAGACTTGGAAACTGTCTTTCTCTCACAGATGTGTCCAACCTGTGACTTATGGAATCATGTAGTTGGCAACATCTTGTGTCAATGTCAAAAGGTTGGACCTGTTGACTGGCTCCACACACAACTGACAGCTATTGTAAAGCTTTTCCAAAACTAAGGGAAAGCTTTATTTATTGGGTTAAATTCCACAGAGAACACATCTGGAGACATTTAGCCACTTGTACATTCTACCCAGCTGTGACACCTTTCTAAGGGCTGCTGGAGAGAAGGATATGTCAGGCTAAGGAAAAATCTGTCACTGTTCTCAATGTGAAGGTCCTACTAAGTCTTCGTAGTTCTTTAATGGCTGTCTTCAGGGTAGGTTCAATGTCGTTCTTCCTTCCCTAAAAATTGGAGTCACCTGAACTAGGGCTTTGGGCTCCTGACTTTGCCTTTGCACATTATCAGAATAGGATGCAACCTTTAACCAGTACTTACCGTGTACATATTTTGCTTACTGTATAAGTTATTACCTTGTTCCTGTGATAGAATGACTGACATTAACATGAAAGAGGAGGAAATATCTATTTTAGCTTGTGGACATTCAGGGGTTGAGTTAAATGTTTGCTTGACCCCATGAGCTTGGGAAGACCACCAAGGTGGCAGAGACTGTGGATCAGGAATGTGTTTGTGTCACAGCAGACAAAAGGCAGAGAGGGGTGTACTCAGAGCCTAGCCGAAGCGGCAAAGCATTGCCTTAGTAACCTGCTTCCTTCCCGTAGACCTCCTCTCCCACTCTATTCACAGATAGAACTATCAGCGAGGGCTTTAGTACCTGAGCCAGTGGGGGATGTTTCATATTCAAACCATAACACTTTCTAGAATCTTCATTTTAATAAGCATTTTTACCATCTGCATCATACCGTTCTGGAGCAAAAATTTAAACAGTGTCTATAAGAGAGAGAAGAACAGAAAGTACCATTCAAATATTAGTTATCACTACTACCAGGACCTATAACTCTTTCTTCCTCTTACTAATATTCATTGCTCATAGACTCATATACTATGGGTAATGCTTATGATGAGAGAGAGAGAGAGAGAGAGAGAGAGAGAGAGAGAGAGAGAGAGAAAGAAACCCAAACAAAACAATAGACTCCTATCCTAACCTAGATCCCGGCCCTAACAGAATAGATGCCAATGTATGAACGATGAGCCTCAGAGGCAACTGAATCACACTGGGAAGCAACTCTATGTGGCTCAAGGGAGGATGCAGGGAAAGAGTCTCCATCTAAGGTGGACAGGATGAGTAAAAGGATGAGTCAACATCGAGAGCACGAGGATGGGAGAGTGTCCAGACAGACAGCCGGAGATTAGAACCATACTTGGAGAACCGAGGAGTGAGGCACGGAGCTAAGAGCTAGTTGTAACACTGAGAGATAGTGAGGGAACACTCCCCGGATGAGAACCCCCTTTCCTACTGCCCACCAGCTTGTCCTTCAAATTCCACCTGTGGACTAGATACCTTGCATGAGTGGCTAGCTGAGTCAAATCTCCTCTTTCCTACTCTGACGGCATCAGTGTCTTCATTCTCTTCTGACGCATTATCCTGGGTCCATTGCTATTTATGTCACATCCTGATGTTGGCTTCCTATGGTGACTGTGTGACAGAAAAGACATGCCTACTTTTGCTTACTACTTTCCCAGCACCTAGCTCTGTCAAATCTGAATAAACATTTACTGAGTGAACAAATGCATTCAGGAGAAAGAAGAGCTAGGCTGAGGAGGGGCCAGGATTAAGGTATGAAATGCATGCCTGCATCTCTCTTTCCTTGGAGGGGGGAAGTCTCTTCTTTTCAGGGAAGTTTTCACATTCATTTCCACCTGACAGACAGCCCTTGGGTCTTGGTGATCACCTGGGCGTGGTGGGAGAATGGACCTCCATTCACTGTGACTGTAAAACTTGCTCACCTGCGGCTCAGATTGCATCAACCTCGCCTTCCGAGGCTCCTTCCCGGTGTGGGTTTTTTCCACTGGGTTATGTGCCAACTGTGGTGACTCACCAAGGAGCAGGACAAAGCACTTCCTTTCAACTTCCTTCGGCAGTTGATTTCCTTACACCAATCTCACACGGGCTTTTAAGAAAAAGTCATCCCAGCAGTAAAGCAGTAGGGACAAAGATTGACCTCTTAATGTGTAAGCATGCTGCAAGTGGGCACTTCTTTCCACTGTGTATGAAGACTGCTCACTGGAGGAAAACCGAGGACTATATTCAGTCACTCTCTGTTTTTGTCTACAACTAACCATGGCTGTATTAGAATGTGGGTATGGGTTTTATTACCTCTATATAGGATACATATAGTTTTGCAAAGAATACCTTAAATGAGCAGTCTTGCCCAACTTTGGTTAAACCCAGGCAGGTGTGCAGGGGCTCTGCTTAGCTTGTGCTGATAGTTTAGGAGTGATAGCTATTCTTGTCTGTCTGTTTTCTATCTCTTTGGTTCTGATCAAATCCTACCTCTGGTCACTTTCCTAGATTCCACTCTCATCATCTGTTCCATACAAGATTCTCAGTCGCTCATTCACTTTCTGAAGATGCCTTGGGAATCACATCCACTTCTGAAACCTGGCACCCACTTTGCTGTTAGCTTCCATTCCTGGGCCAGGCCAGGCATGGTAATTCTTTTTACTACTTTCTCCATCTACCTGGCTGACCCTACAGGAGACACAACAGAAGCTGGGTATGGTGGCTTGGCCAAATGACAAAAGGTCACCCCTGAGCCCAGGACTCTGTTCCTATGAAGACTGACTGACTCTTAGCAATTGATCCTTTGTGTCTATAAACCTGATGGTATCGGGAGAAGTGAAGAAAACTGGGAATACAGTTTCTTCAGATTCATTTCAATGTTTTGAAAACTCTAGGAATCTACTTTGCTTTTATCTGCTTTCAGGAAAACAAGTTGTACGATTTCAGTAACTAAAAAAAACAAACCCCATCTTTGTTCACTGTCTGATCTGCTGGCCAGCTTGGCCTTTGATGAACTTGCGTGTTTCTTTTCATGGAAACTGTTGGTACAGAGCTATGGGCGAAACCAGTGAGGCATCCGACAGAATCAGAGAAGAGAGCAGATCTGAAATCTTGAGCCAAAAGTTTTAGACACTGGTTTTGACTGGCCCATTAAAAAGAGGAGAAAATACGCACATCTGTGACTGAGATACAAAGTTCATGCAGTGTTTATAAAATATAACAAGTTAGAAGTGGAGCAAATGATAAACCTAGGAATGTAAGACTTTTCTAAGGGATTGGACTGCAGATTCCACACCTCCCTGATCACATTCTCTTCAATTTCATATTCATTTTTCAAAGCCATGCAGTAAGGTGGATGGTCCACACAATGGCTGGAAAGTCATTTGTGCTTGTCAAACGTGGCGATGGAGAACAGGAGGTGAGAGGAGATAAGGTGGGGGCAGAGCTGAGCAAATCACCAGACCTAGTGGCTCTCACAGGCTACTTACTGAGGAGCTCCTGATATGAAGAGTCCCAAACCGAACAAGACGGGGTGTGACTCAGGGCAGAAGGAGGCACTACATTTGGATCCTGTAAAGAC